TATTGTCCTACGTTTTAAATCTGCCATCCTTTGTAAGCCTAACCGTCCTACAACACAAAGGAAGTCGTCGAGTTGTCTCATATAAGCCCAGAGCCGCGGCTAATCTAGTCTCATCCAACACTCGCGCGTATGGGTCGTTCGTTAGTTGGTTGGTTAGTTGATCGAAATGATCGAAGAAGACACGTAATCATCCATTAGCGATTTGCTGAACTTTATAATTTGTAAGTGAATTGTAATTTTACTTCCTATCAAAAGATGGTATACTAAATTAATTAAGAAATTTTAATTTTATTTGTGATTCTAGGTTTGTGAAGCTCCACAGTGTTACACAATAATAGAAGGTGCAGAAGCTTTTTTAGCGTTATTTAAAGGGATCAAGTATTTTTTGCAACTTCCTATGGGTTTAAGCTAATACTCATGATGCCTCGCATACTTTTAGGCGTCAGGTTTTCATACCTCTTAATGTACCTTTGTATTTTCTGTGTATATTACTAATACATGCTTATATGCGTTAAAGCAATTCTCAGATTAACTGTAGAGTAATAAAATTAAAGCGCATAATAGATTCTAAACTCGGGATGCTTGGAAGGACACTCGAAAGCTTTATGTTTGCTTACAACTGATACACGCCAGTTACCAAGTGATGTAAGCTTGATTTTCCATTAATATTGGGAGTACTCTTTCCTCCTCAATTTTTGAAGATTCACAGCACTCAATTTATTTCCAACAATAGTATTTCCATTTCGCTTCATCTTCAATGGAGGATGTATGGTCACCCCGCTATGCCTGAAATTTCTCGACCGCAGCTTACCGCTGAGCTCCATCTATTGCATTCACAAGGTAAAAGAAGAATGGTTATCCCGCGTCTCTTCTAATTTTTCCTGCGGAGCTCGATAAATGAATTAAAGGCTATAATTTAATAACATCATTCTTACAACCTAACCTGAGTTGCCATGTAATATTCATTATATTCCCTCTTCTTATCTATATGTGGTCTTCTTCTGATAGCCAACACACTTAAACTTCCAGCTGATACAAGTGATCGCCCTAATAGCTGCTTATTTATTCTCCAGACTTCTTACGCTCTTAAGCGCTTATTGTAAGGCTTCTGCCTAGGGAACAGAGTTATGGTACTTCACTTTGTAGTTATCACACCGACACTTTCCTACTTTATGTATGTATGTATAAATAAGATTTCTGCAAATAGGTCCGTCCCTGGACTTTTTCAAACGAATCAATTGTTTTTGGTAGAGGTTCCTATTGCTCATATTAGAGCACACACTTGTGGTCCCACCAAGTACATAGAACCATCGACATTGGTTGGCCGGGCTTCTCATACCATCTTTTGTTGGCTTATCAGAATGAAGCCATTTTTCATCGCCAGTGACAATCCGATGCAAAAATGACTTCTTTTGGTGGCGTGGGGACATGCAGAATCGACGTCTCTTGGCTTTAATTCATAAGGCACCCAATTTCCAAGCTTCTGGATGAATCCTAATAATTTTAAGCGTCCGGGAATGGTTGCTTGATCAACTGGTAATACTTTTGCAAGTTCTTCTTGCGTCTGGCATGCATCTGCGTCGAGCAATGAGTCCAACTCTTCGCCTTGACATTTTTTGGCTGTCCGGGTCGTTCTCCGTCGTCTAAGTCGAAATTGCCACATTTAAACCGTGCAAATCACTTTTGGCACGTTCGTTCGGCTAAAGCATGTTCACCAATTCGACCGAGTTTCAGCTTCAATTTGAAATTCTTTGCCGCAGGGCGACCGCAATTAGAAATATTATTGTTCTGTAAGTTTGGATATAGGTCGCGTCAGGACTCGAACCCTGGCCTCTCGAATGGCAGTACGCAATGCTAACCACTCGGAAATTAGGAATTAAAACAAAAATCTTCTAAAACCAACTTTCTAAGCTGTTGTAAGTGAACATAGTCGAAAGCTTCGGAAATACCTCAAATTAAATGCATCGCCGCACGTTTGTTGTTTTTGTGTTTTGCATTTGCAATGTGAGTACACGCCTCGCTGTAATAGCTTTTTAATCTCCTAGAAGTACACACCATTTTTTAATGGCAGTAAAATACCAAATTTCTTCGTAAAAGTCTTACAGACGTGAGCTTACTCCTTACTAAACAAATATTATCATGTGATCTCCTGCTTGACACTTCTTTGAAAATACTCAACGCACAGTGATATACATATAATATTTACCTATGTGTGTGCACGAAGTCTTTAATGTTATATGTGTGTACATAAGTAGCTAGTCTAGAAATGGCTCTTTTTATCCTTCCGTTCGCCATCATCATCTTCAACTTTTCATGTTTTTGTCAGCGCCGCACGGCGCACATGTCATCTACAACATTTAAATGTCGTTGTGCAAATAGCTGCCGGCATATGGCAGAAGCGGGTCATACATACATACAGACATACATATGCTTGTGCAAGTATACATATCATTTTGTATTGGTATGTGTGTGAATATCTTACAACGGATGTGTGAATTCTTTCCGCTTGAGCGCCATATTCAATGGCACTTCCCACGCGTGGGAAACGTGTGCACTTAAGTCGAAAAATGCCTCGAAAATATTTGTAAAACTTTTACATGTGTATGAGCAAACCGCTGTATAACGCTAAAATGGTTATTATCAGGAAAGACAATTCCCAAACAGATGTTATTGCGGATAATACAAGTCACTGCTTTTATGAGCTTTTAAGACAGGTGTAATATTAAATGACCATGCATATATGTATATGTGTAAATAAGTAAATATGTATATATTAATCGCTTTCTATTGAACTTTTTTAATAGCTGAAGTTTTGACAAATATTAAAAAGCCTGTATGCTTATCACTGCAAATCAGTAAAATAAGAAAATATAAAAGGCGTTTCTAAGCTCAAAAAAAAAGGAAGAAGAGGCATTTAAAGTTCTAAAGAAAGGTAACTATGAAGACCCTTTTGAAGGCTATTAACAGTAATATTTTAAATTTTTATCACCTTCGATGCAATGTTGGCTGAATACTCTTTAAAATATTTTTTCCGTTGTTGGCTGCGCGTATCTTAAAGATAAAGAAGGCATACATACATATATACATACGAGGTGTTATTTTCAAATTTCGTAAGTTACGTATATTCGATTTTCGCTTTTTTTCTCTTAGTAAAAAATCTAAGAGCACACCAAAGCAAGACTAACTGTTTTATCTGTCAAAAAAAGCGACTCACGAAATTGGAAAATTACGGTTATTTTCCACCTATCAGACCTCGTATTCTCTGGTTCTCTCTTTTGTGGTTCTCTTATTTTGGGCAAATCAGTGAAAAAGTTCGTTTGGCTAGTTCGTGAAGCAAGTTAAAGGCCTGACCGAGGATTACCCATAGTTAAGCTATCGAGCAGGCTCATTGCACTTCCGACCTAACCCAACGCTCCGCAAAAGCTTAAACGGCTAAGTAACCTTCTCGAAAAACAGCATAAAAGACCTATTCTTACTAAAGCAGGGTTAAGTTTCAAGATCTTTTTAAGATAAGCTTTAAATTTGTGTGCGATTGTCGCAGATCACTAACTAGAGATCTCCTCTTAGGCATAGTGGGAAACCTTCTTCTTCATCTTTACTAGTATAGACATCGCTGAGGCGATTATAGCCGAGTTAACAACATTGCGCTCATCGTTCCATCCAGAAAAACTTTTCCGTCGCAGACTCACCAAGCAGACTCTTCAGATGTTGACATCGTCCGCGCTTCTGTGTCATATAGTAGGACGGGTATGATGAGCGCATTTGTAGAGTTTCGTTTTTGTTCAATTGCCTACTCAGTCCAAAGTAAGACGTGTTGGCAAGAGCTGCTTTGGATTTAAAGTCTGACATTATTATTGATGTAGACGCTAGTTCTTAAATAGACGAAATTATCAACGACCTTAAAGTTATAACTGTCAAAAGTGGCGTGAGAGCCGAATCGCGAGTGCGATGACTGTTTCTTTGATGACAGGAGATATTTCGGTTTGCCCTCATTCACTACCAAAACCATTCGGTTCGCTTCTTTATCTTATAAAATATTGTACTTTTTCTAATTAGCTCTGCAGCTCTTATTATTTTCTTCAGGAATAAATTAAAGAAGTCACACGATAAGGAATCATTTTGTCTGAAACCTCGTTTGGTATCGTACGTCTTAAAGATGTTTTTCCCGATCCTGACGGAGTTTTTCGTGTTGCTTAAGGTCAGTTTACACTGTCGCATAAATTTTGTCGGCATACCAAATTCGGAAATAGCGGTTTAGAAGCAGTTCCTTTGTGCGCTGTTGAAGGCTGCTTTAAATTCGATGAAAAGGTGGTGTGTGTCGATCCATTTTTTAACGAGTCTTTTCCAAGGTTTGGCGTATGGTGAATATCTGCCCTCCGAGTGTATTTTTGAGAGGAAAATCAAAACTCCTCATAAAAAACCATTAGCCGTTCGGTGGCGGCATATTATCAATTGTAGGTCTCTCCATTTGTTGGAAAAATATCAAGACGCAAAACCACAAATTAGAATAAGAGCTCGGCGGAAAATCGCTTCAGCGGTTACAAAGCTCCAATTATATTATATATATTTGAAAATTTGAATACTAAAATATGCCTATAATTCGCCACACTTCGAACAAGTGACACGCTTTTTAATCGGAGAGATCTTCGATAAGTCCGCTCGAAGAAATGCCTTGCTAGTCTACGAGTCTATTCTTTGTCACGTAAAAAATATACAAAATCATATGGCACTGATTCTGATCACGAACATAACAAATTGGCATAACAAAAACTGGTTTATAAGTATGAAAAAAATAAATTATTGCCAATAATAAAACAGCGCTAATTTAAAAATGCACCAAATTATTACTTTTACTGTAAAAGAAACGCGATCGACATAAAATATTTAATACAAAAATGAATTTACGATTGCTGATATACCAATAATATGTACTTCACGTGTTCGATAAGATTAACCCTGAACCAATGTTACAGACATTTTACCGTAATACACTTGCTTATTACTGCGTGGCGACCATTCAGTTCAGTTTCATAAGTTGATCTCAAATAACGCGAAATTCGCTAGTTCGGAAACTAAAAATTGCAGAAATGCATACAACGTTTCTCTTCGCCTTAGCCCTGACGGGTATTCTTGTAGGCGTTGTATTAGCACGTGACAGAGGTGAGGACCTGAAATAAATAACTAAAAGATTGGAGAGAGTGAAGTGAAATGAAGTTATGGCCAAGAATATGTGTCTTTGCAATTTTAGACTTTTATGTTATATATTAAAACGTCTATTAACCTGACTTTAAAGGTGTGGAAATGTGTTGTCTGACCTAAAGACAATTAACGTTATAAGCCTAAAGTTAAACGTCTTTCCAACAAAGAAAGCAATTGTATTACCTTGATATCTCCATCGGTTTCTTTTGGTCATTTTAATAGATTTTTCTTACCAATGGAGGACTTTCATTCTGGGTAGATGTCACCGGTTAGCCCAATTAAATAAGCAAAGTAAATTTGAAGATAGAGTCTACAACTCTATCTTACTAGTAGATAGTGTTTAATGATAAAATCGATTGGGCTTCTGGTAGACAGCCAAGCGACTATTAAGCGCGTCAAAACAAAGTACAATGTGAAGCGTCAATTAACAGACAATCGGGGGAAAAGACATTAAATATCATTGCGTCCCTGAGCACACGGATGTAGAAAGCAATGAGAAGGTGGCACCATTAACCACCTCAAACCTTTTATCGCCTTCAAATGGTATTCAAAGCAGCGGACCATTAAGGAAAAGGGAACTTAGTATTCTTTTGACTGTTTTGGATGGGTCATCTATCCCTGAGATATCATAATCACATACTAAACGATGACGACCTTTCCGAATATCTGATTTTCCGCCGGTTGAGACGTCATATCATTCAAAGTGACCCGATCCAGCATTTATTTTTTTTTAATTATTGATTTTTGTTTATTTTATTTTATTTGGTTTTATTTTATTTTATTTTATTTTATTTTATTTTATTTTATTTTATTTTATTTTATTTTTATTTTATTTTATTTTATTTATTTAGTTTTGTTTCTTTTCTACTTTATGTTACTTTATTTTATTTTATTTTATTGTATTTAATTTTAATTTTTATTTGAATTGATTTCATTTTTAACTAATTTATTTTATTGTATTTTACTTATTTTTTTTTATTTTTTTTTTACTTTTTTTATTTTATTTTAATTTACTTTATTTTTTTATTTTATTTTATTTTACTTTTTATTTTTTTTTTTGTTTTTATTTTTAGTTATTTAGTTTTGTTTATTTTTTTCTTTGTCTTATTTTATTTTTTATTATTTGTTTTTTCATTTTATTGATTAAATGTAAACATCATTAAAACTACATTAATTTTTTGTATCCCGCCGAAGAAAATACAGTGCAATTAAGGAAATCTTTGTTTTTTACCCCGTCTAAACTTGTCACTGTGTCCGCGAATTAATGTTAGTTTTGAAGTCTCTGTCATAATCCTATCGAAGGATGGCAAGAAAGAAAAGATTTCTGCTGAAAAGTTGGTGGGGAATCATTTAAAAAAACTGAAATTAATTAAGGGTTCAGACTTTCTTTGAACTGTAGATCCTTTGAAGGATTCAACTTAGAGAGCATTCGAAAATGGTAATGGGGGTATTCCCTCTTTGCACTCTGTAGCGTCAAATTATTTGCTGGCAAAGCTTTTCTGTGGTTCATTGAGGAATGGAATAAGATAAATTATTACCTAGGACTTTGGATCGTGGTTCAAAGCCATATAATTCTCCATTGTCTAAAGTATTTTTCACGAAAGTTATATTCTTTGCTGCAATCAGTTTCTAACCATATGGTCACTGTCTGATCTTATCGAAAGCTTTTTAGCCTTTTAATTTATTAAACGGGAAGACAATAAATACTAGTAATTAAGTAGCCAAAATGTTACCGATTAAAAACCACTAAAAGATATCGCCAAGTAAATAACAAAATTGCAAATTTGTCAATAAATTCATTTTAATCTTACGCATGGAAAAATAGAATTTCTTATCAATCGCTCATCAACACAACCATTAAATTCTTCAAATACGCCAATTTATTGTACGGATCTATAATTGATAAAAAATATATTTATAATCAACTACATTTTACCTTTCAGCACATCCGCGCAGCGCTACAGCACGCTTGGGCTCAGCTGCACATCTCACAAATGAGGCCGAACGCGAAGCAAGTTATTGGAATGAGTTCGCACAGGAAACGCTCAGAGCCAAAGTCCAAGAAGCAGCAAAGGCGGGCTCAACGCAAAGCGCCAAGAATGTCATACTCTTTCTGGGCGACGGCATGTCCATTCACACAATCACAGCTACACGTAATTTAATGGGCGACAGCTCAAATCAAGTATCCTTCGAAAAATTCCCATACTTTGGCCTATCAAAGACATACTGCGTAGATCGACAAGTAGCCGATTCGGCTTGCACAGCCACTGCTTATTTGGGTGGTGTGAAGGGCAACTACGGCACAATTGGTGTGAATGCTAAAGTGAAGCGTTACGATTGCAACAATGGACAAAATCCGGCCAACTTTGTTGATAGTATAGCCAAATGGGCGCAGGATGTCGGCAAAGATGCTGGTTTGGTGACCACAGCACGTGTCACACACGCCTCACCCGCCGGTGTGTATGCACATACAGCAAATCGCGATTGGGAGAATGATGCCAAGGTTTACCAGAATGGCGGCTGCAGTGCCAAGGATAATGTGGACATTGCACGCCAACTGGTTGAGTGGGATGTGGGTAAAAAGTTGAAGGTTATAATGGGCGGCGGTCGACGCAACTTTATCAACACCACCGTCAACGATGAGGAGGGTTTGCCTGGCCACCGTACGGATGGTCTCAATCTGATACAAGATTGGTTGAAGGACAAACAAGCAAATAAACAGCAAGCTGCATACGTATGGAGCAAAAAGGGTTTGAGTTTGGTGGATTTGGAGAAGACTGAATACCTTTTGGGTTTATTTGCCAGTTCGCATTGTCCCTATAATGGTGATTTGGAGCGCAGCAACTACAAGTTAGTCAAGCCATCGTTAACCGAGATGACCGATGCTGCGATAAAAGTGTTGCGTAAGAATGAAAATGGATATTTCCTTTTTGTCGAGGGTGCACGGATCGATATGGCACATCACGATACACGCGCACGCAAATCATTGGAGGACACTTTGGAATTTTCACGTGCCATAGAGCATGCACGCGCAATGACATCGGAGGAGGATACACTCATTGTGGTGACGTCAGACCACTCGCATACCATGACCATCAATGGTTATCCTGTGAGTAGATATCATTTAATAATAATAATGAGTGGTAATTTCCAGTACTAAATGTAAAATTTAAATTTATTTCCCCAGTATCGCGATCAGCCAATAACTGGTTTGTCCGATCAGCTTGCCGATGATGGTTTGCCTTTCACAGTTTTGTCGTATGCCAATGGTCCCGGTTTCAGCACAACTTACAATGACAAAACAGGTCGTAGCAAAATCAGTGCCAAACAAACTGAAGATGTTCGCTTTGAATATCTTGCCACAGTCCCACTGGACTCGGAGACCCATGGTGGGGATGATGTTGGCGTATTCGCTTCCGGTCCATTTGCTCAATACTTCAGCGGCAATTATGAGCAATCAAATATTCCTGCTATGATGGCACGTGCACTTAATATCGGACCATTTGCTAATCTTTAAATTGTTTATGCATAAAATATGTTTCATGAATAAAATAGTAAGCAAAAGAAAAGTGTAGTCTTGTCTTGTCTGGAATACATCGCAATAAAATCAGAAACGGTAGAGAATTTTCGCTTATAACTAAAGTGACGGCTAAGGTCTCTGTGAACCTGGTATGGGTACCAGGGCACAGGAACTTCCCGGGTAACGAAATGTCAAACGAGCTTCAAATGAAGGATACTTCCCTCCCACTCTCGCGCTCCACTTGTAAGCTTACCATAAGATAGTTTTTAATCGCAAATGCTAACGGCAATTCGAGCGAAGATAAGTCGCCTTTGTTTTGCCAACTCCACACGATGGTTTGACTAGCGAGTAGGTGCCGATCGGCTCCTTAGTGGCATCACAATGGGCTCGTTTGGTGACCTAGGTGAATTAAAGCCCAGCGGCTACCTCAACCTAAACTAACCTAACCCAGGCAAGTGAGGTCCCAAGCACCACAGGCATGCAGTAAACAAATTTGATGTATTTGACCCTCTCATATGCTAGAAAATGAAGAATACCTCAGGTCCCCCTACATACGTAAGATGTAAGACATTCTTTAACTAGCGATCAGAATAAATGATAACAGAAATGGCGCTACAGAGCATTAGACATACAGCTTCCTCGTTAGAAAAGAGTTTGTCTGGTCATGAAGCAGAAAACTCTCCCCAAAGATGTTTTCAACTAGCCTTAACTCATCCGTGAAGATGTAAAATGCACTTGCAGCTAGGTACCACGACCACACTCTTGGGTAAAATCGTTTGCTTACATGTTGAAACCTTGAACCAAGAGCAACCGCTATTTTCACAACTATGGATTTGCTAGCGATGTTCATAATATCTATATTTAGTATGACAAAAAACACTGGTATTTGGAAGGGAGTACGAGACTTTACTAGCTTTCTTCTCACTGTACGGAATCTGATTTCATCAGCGAGTTGCAATCAAAGCTGTCTCATGGAGAAGAGAAGTGGATTAGAAATTTTATATCTCAAGAACAATGCTTGCCAATAGATGTTTAAATGAAGAATAAAGCTGATGGAGGACAACAAAGTGAACGACCAATGAAAGTACGAAGCTGATGAAAAGTCATCCACACTTGGTGTAACGGTTAGTAGAGGGTGCGTAAAGTAAAGATTGCATCCGATATATGTTCTTAAAAGTCATAACCATGAAAACAGCACAAATTAAATTCACCATTCTCTAGAGGAAATAAACAAGTAAATGAATATTTTTCGCTTTATATTAGATCAAGTAAAAAGTTCGTTCGGTTTTTTTCGGCGCGGAAAACCTTTGCTCGTCAAAAATGGACACCAGCAAAGAGAAAATTCGCTATATTTTACAAATTTTCTAATTTAATAATTTATGGGCCCGGTAAGAAGTTGACCTCAAGAGAGGCCTGTGAAAATTGGTTCTCTGAGTTCCAATAGGGACGCAGCCTTCTGCGAGAGTGGTATAATGAAGTTGGCAACAAGTTTACGAATAAAACGGCGCATATTTGACTTAAATTGGACAAATGTACTCAAAAATAACATTTTTTGAAAAATCAATAATCAGAAAAGGGTGGATATAATAGATTTTTTAGGTGTGTGTGTGACCCATTCAAAACATCATAAGAACCTGTAAATTGAAGACGCGAAAAGAATAAATATCATTTTGATGGCAGTCAATATTTGTCAACCTAATCTAAGGTAAGATGAATTTTCCGAGCGAAAAATATTACAAATTTTCATCAGTCACTTTTCTTTGAATCTGGAAATTAGAATTAACTCTGTACTTCGGTAGCCCCAACAACCGCTCGTAAATTCTTATTGCTAAATACTGGTTCGCAGATGATGGAACGATAAAAGCTGTTAGTCGGCCACAGCTCTGCACATATTCCGTGCAGTAGCCTGTGATGGACTCACTGACAGAGGAAGATCTCCACTCGGAGGGAAAGGTGAAACGGTGTCTCCTATGTTGGCCCGGCTTTCATCGCGTAAGCGGTACTTACGTTAATTAAGAATAAAAAAAAACCAATTAAAATAATTATATTAACAACTTTGCTAAGTAAAATAAGTCTTACTTTATTTTCCAAAGAAAATGAAAAGACATGAAATGTTTGTCATATTTGTAATAGAACTCCTGCCAAACATCGCGAAGTCAGCATATGCCTGCCTATTTTGTTACCCTAGGTTCCCATACATGTGTATACAAATACATACATAATATGAAAATGCTTTATGCATATCCTGCAGGGAAAGATATTAGTTGTTAACCCACGTAAGCGACTAATATTATTAACACGGCTGTGTCCTAGGAACTGTCAATTGTCTTACTACGCAACAGCTTTATACTAGTTATATACTAGTTCATTTAGGAATGTTGAATTGCTACCTCAGCAAAATAATAATAAAATAAAAATGAGTTTACCTGCAGCGTTACTCGAACCGGGAACCTATGGCTATACAACCATGAGCTCCAACCACTCGGCTATCGTGACGATGTAGCGATAAACTTCATTTCGCTCTGCAACAGAGCGTAAGAGAGAATGGAGCTCAGCCGTGGTGTGCTGAAAATAATAGCTAACTGTTATAATCACAATACTGGTATTTAACTAGTTTGGCTTTTCCTACCAGGGTAGGTACATCTATGTATGTATGTGTAAGATTTACTCTTTACATATACGAAAATGCACAATCAAAAGTCATATCAAAGTCTCGAATTCAATCGCAGCGAACGCAGTCGGTATTACCGAGATCCGAGACGTGTAAATATGTATATGCAATATAACCATATTGCATAGCCGAATAACAGCAGTAGACAGCAAAGCAAAATTGCCAACTCAGTCTAATTAAACGTCAATTCAGCAGATTATGAAAATATTATGAGCTTCATTGTCGTCTATAAATATTATATGTATCCCTGGTCATTGGCATGATACGAGTACATATCAAATCTATTCACACAAACACTCATACATTAATATAATGAATACAATCAAGTTAAACTATGCCAGTGGCTTTTAAGTGTGAAATCTCAATCGTTCATTTGCATTGAATCCTAATCACTCGTACATATCGGAATATTCGGCAACCACAACGGAGTAGGATTCAGGACACCGCATGGTATGTTTGGGAAAAACTGCTGCCAAATATGCATATATCTTCACGAGTTGACGACAAAAATATTGCACACCCGCAGAGAAGAAGTTCTTTGACAAACCCTAAGATCCTTTTTGCAATTGTCTTTGAACTTCCTGTATATCAAGTTGATGCTGAGTGCTCTCAAAGAGCAGGAGTGCAAGCCGAGTAGAAAACCGTTCGGCTATTTGTTGTGACTGCAGCTTTCCTAGTGTTCGTTGACGGGCGTTCTTTGATACACAGAGGCGCGTGTGCTATGACCAGATAGTGATCCGAGTCGATGTTAAGACCGAGGAACGTACGCACTGAATATATGTCTTCCGTCTATCACAACAAGAACGAGCTGGTTGAGAGTTTTTCGATCTGGAGACAGTCAAGCTAATTTTTCTTGTTCTGGAATCTAGCGCTACAAACAACCATATTTCGAATGCCTGTACTCTGCGACGGAGTTTCTCTCCCGCTGTAGTAAATGTCGCAAGGACCCACCTTCCTTGTCTTTGTCTCGTCCATAGCACTTCTTGGACGGAGGTGATGTTAGTCTTTAATTTTAATAAGACAACAACCATAATAAGAGACCAGACATTCAAAAAAAAATTAGCTGCCGAGCTGTAGATTACGTGATTCAAAATATCGGAGCCCCACTTATACGGGGGCAGCCAAGGCAAGGCAGCTCTTGTGAATGGTTGTTTTCGCAGAGGCTTGAATATTCTCGGCACCTCTTCTTATGCTGACCTTCGTCGTACCAAGGTCATCTTCAAAATTTTAAAAATCGCTCTATCGAATATTCTTCTTAGCCGAGCATCGTCAAGGATAATTTTTTCAACTTGAGTAAGTTTGTTTGTTTAAATAAACTGTGCCACTTGTACAATATGGTTTTTCCCGGACAAGAGTCGCCGTAAACGAATGGCAGCTCATTCCTGGTGGTCGTGGTAAAGGAGGTCCCTACTTCGTATGGAACTTTACAACGACACGGTATTTCGATTTTCCATATTTCACCTTTTACTTTCGAGTAAGTTACTTGGTTGAATAAAACCTGATATTTATACTAAATTTCTGAGTTACTGAACACGTTACGATGCGATTAACCCTGATCACCCACTTCTACCTTCTAATTCCGCGAAACATAAAAACGTGCTTTGTAACAGCTGAAGCGATTTTCGGTCGAACTTTCCCAGAATTTGGGATGTGTACCTTCATATATTAATGAGAGGCTTTTATTTCACATTAGAAATTCGGTCGGAATGCACGAAATTTATTCGACGATTGCAGCCTTACAACTGGGTACAAAGGCCTAGATCCCTAGCCAAAGTCTTATGGACAGTAGTCTTGCTACAGTATAAACAATGAGTGATGTTGGAGCAGTGATAGCCGCTTATAGAAACCGCTTTTTAAACCGTTGAGTCCGCCACACCATATGCCGAAAACTGCCCAGAGATGGATGAGCGCGGCACAGGAGAGAAAAGTATTAAGAGATATCTTATCTACGGTATGCCTTTCTTTAAGCTATTGAGAAAATCATCAACCGAGAATTCTTTTACCCTCACACCATCATCGTCGTTACATCAAATTCGCATCGTTGCAATGCGCCATAAAATGCAATGCAACAAACCAAACTGGGTTACACTTTAAAAAGGCGAGAATGAGAGCGGCACTCGACGGATGGCACAAAAAGGATTTTTCACATTTCTAGCTTAACTGAACTGAGCCGAAATGAATTGAGTTGAGAGCAGCGGGTTGGCACTGCTACTGACATATATGTATGTATCTACATATGTATAACAGTGAGCTCCTGGCGTATGTATGCCAACCTCGTATCGACCTAGTAAATAAATACTCTCAGCATACCGATGGTAAAACTAGTGACTACAAAAACAATAACAATTGCCAAAGGATTTTCAGCATA